TGACAGTCTCACCTCCTCCTTCGCTTCTGGCCATGAGTTCCTGCTACCTCCCCATCAGCACTAGCAGCCAAGCCATGAGATGGAGCAGTTCTCATTTCTCAAAAGAAAAGAAACAGAAGAAAAATCTCTTTTTTCCAACCAGATCAGCAAAGCTGAGCTGGCTCACCCCAAGGCCACGTGGGCATCAGCGGTGACCAAGGAAGAAGCAGACTCTGAAACCACATGTGAAACCTGCAGAGCAGGTACACTCTGCTCACACTAAAATATCAACGGCAAAACGACATCCAGCAACCACTGCAACCTAAAAAACATGTCCACAAAAGACAATATTGTCACCTTTAAACGGTAATCCAGTGGATAAGAGGTCACCTGGGAAGCTGGGTACTTTTCCCAGGGCTGGGCACTTTTCCTCCCGCAGATCCCACCTCCTACAAAGTCCTTGGACCAGCAGACTTGAAGCAGAGCTTGGGCTGAGGCTGCTTTCTGCCCTCCCCCTGGAGCCAGGCCAGCTCACAGAGGAATTCAAAACTCACAAAGCCATAATGAGAAAGCCCTGGAGGGCAAGTATGACTCCATGGGAAAGAGACTCCCAGGAGAAGGGGTAGAGACCTATATTCTGGTCCCTTCTCCAGGAACTGCTCATGCCTACTGCACTGAAGATGAGATAAAATGTATACACAGCTCCTTTTATACTAAATCTTCAAAAATACATCCTATGAGCTATGTAAACACACCTAAGAGCCAGTGAGAGCTTTGCCCTAACAGGAGAGCAGCATATTCCTACCTGTATTCTTGGAAGTATTTTTATATTTGGTGGATAAAAGCAAATCAAAGAGCAGAGCTGAGATCTTCCCAGTTATGACTCACTTCTGCCAACCTCATGTTTTGGCAACAGAACTGCACATACACTCTCACCTGAGCCTGTAATAACAGGTCATACAGGGAATTTCTGTAGCTGCCTGGGTTCTTAAAGATACAATTCAGGTGCCCAAACTCGGTTAGAAGTGAAAACTGCCTGCCAATGTCCATTTACTGCATCAGGGAATCCTTAAAGTCCCAGCATGGGATGGGCAGCACTGCCCAGAGGTGTCCCAGTTTGGCAGCAGACACATATCCAGTTCTGGATGCCCCATCCCTGGAAGTGTTCAAGGCCAGGTGGGATGGAGCTCTGAGCAACCTGGTCTAGTGGAAGGTGTCCTTGCCCATGGCAGGGTGTTGGAACTGGATGAGCTTTAAGGTCCCTTCCAACCAAAACCACTCTGTGATTCTCTGATTACCATCCCAGCGGAGCGATGGAAGAGGAAGCGCTCCTCACTCCTCTCTTCCAGGTCCAATTTTGAGCTCACCATTTCCTACACAAACTTCAGCTGCAAGCTCTGCACTTGGATAGCTACGGGCCATAAAAAAAAAACTGAAAAAATTTACAAAACAAACAACTGCCTGTGAACTTCCACACGGGAATCCCTCAGACATGAGTACAAGTCAACACTAACAAAACACTGCTCAGAACCAACACATCAAGGACTGTGTTGGTTTAGTACAAAACATCACACAACAAACCTGTGCATCCAATTTTGGACTGTGTTAAGTTTTTATTTATACAAAATTTATGGCTCGTGTTCCAAAAGTTGTTATTTATAATAAAGACTTTTTGTTGTTGTTATTGATTTTTGTTTGTTTGTCTTGTTTTTTTTAAAAAAAAAATCAAGACTTTCACTAACTAATGTAAGAAGCAATATTCTGCTTCTGCAACAAAATGCTGTTAAAGTTACCTCCATGTGCTGCCTTTTTTTTTTTGGCTCAAGATAATAACAAAAGGCATGGAAAAATGTCACCTTCACAACATATAATTTAGTCTAGTTCAATAATACTAGGTGCTATTTTAAAAACAAATAAATGGAGATACTGTATGTTTGTCCATATTCTACAATTCTATGCAAAAAAAAAAAAAAATCTGGTTTCAAACTATGATTTTTTCAATTATTTTGGGTGCAAACCACCCCTGTGCACTGTATCAATGGCAACAGCCCATTCCCCAAAACAGGTGATTTTCAAGAGCAGCAGTTTCCCTGTCCCACAGGTGGACACAACAATGAGATGAAGATCTAAGACTCCTCCTCCTCAAACAGGTCCTGCCTGGGATTTCTCAGCACATGAAACTGCTCCACTGTGAGCCTGAGGAAATCTGATCCACTGCTTCAGTACAGGTTTAACAGTTAACAATTTAGGGGCAATAAAAATTTGCAACTTCCTTTCTTTTCATCTGAAGTGATAAGAAAACAATGATTTTTTTTTTTTGGCTTTAAAAAAAAAAAAATATCCCTCCTGAGAACATTCTGATAAGGTTACGGTTAAATAAATGATTTTCAGGAGATATGCAGTTAATTCACAAAAATACTTGGCAAAAATGTATCTTCGAATATGTAATTCATATAACGTTCTCCTCTATTTGTTTAATTCAAGTAAAATATTTTCCTCCACCCTTTCCTTTTCATAGGCTTTTCACACCCACATAACAACCAAGTGACTCTTCCCTGACCCGGCCTCCCACGCCTTTTGGTACAACTGCTCCCTGGCTCTTGAGCTCTTCTCCCAAGATCCAAAGGAAGCACTTAAGGAAAGGAAAGGAAACCCAGTACAATGCTAAACCTTCCTTTTTTTTTTTTTTTTTTTTTTAATTAAACCATTGGGTTTATTTGCCATTCCACAGGGATGTGTGCTGAACGGCCTTCTCTGCTCCTGTTTTGGAAAACAGGGAAAAAACATCCATGAGTGCCTCACCACAGCTGCCACCCCAACTGGGTTTGGGGAGGGAAGACATCCTGGTGTCACCCACCCAGGGAGTAACAGCAGCAGTGGATTCTTCCCTTCACGGAGGATGGTCAGGACACAGCACCAGCAAGTCCTACCGCTGGTGTTTGGAGAACCCATCACAGAGCACAATAAATTCAATAATCACTATTCTGCTTTCCCCATTTTCTAATGATCTCTGCATTCTAAACAATGTTCTGGTAATCCAAGAGCTACAATATCCCCTATCAGCATCCTCTCCAAAGGGAAAACACAGTAACAGTGCTGGTAAAGCACTAAAGGGAAGTTAAATATCACTCCCCTCATTCCACTGATAACTAAAAATAAATAATGACCTGCCCAAGAAACTCCCCCTCCAAAAAATTCCTCCCAAATACAGCGACAGAATCGACAGCAGATTCAGGGACCAAGACTTCCAGAACCAGCTCCGTCAGCCAACATGATTCCTTCCAGCCAATAGTATGTTAATGATTTAGGGTTTTTTTGAGAAACCACTAATTGATATCTTTTTTTCTTGGCATTTGCAGAGCCACTTAAAAATAACATCGTTTCTATTCTAGGCATATCTTAGGAAAAGTATCATTAGATTTAATTCCAGGGATGAACATCTGATTTTCATGTAAAATTCAACAAGACTGAAGCCTTGTTGATTCAGTGTAACAGGGAAATTACAGCTCAGCCCTGAGTCCAGGATGATGCACTGGCCCATCCCCTTTGCTCAGGATCAATGTCAGCAGAGGTCTGTAGGCTAAAGGTGGGAGGAAACAGCAGTTTCAAATTGTTTCTGCCACCCTGATGCAAAAAGTTTCCTCCTTCCTCCTAAACCGTGACAGGGCAGCCAGTGCTTTCTGTAAAAGCTGCTCCAGTGAAAAAAATGAACACACCTCTTCCAAGAGCTGCTAAAGAGCTTTCTCTCAATCGCATTTAGCAAGATACCATCTAAGCACTGAAAATAAGCACATAAACTTACCAGTGCATTACTGGGAGAAACATCAGAAATAAAGTTCAGGTGTTGCTCAGCCGTCAGCACCTCAGCTCCTCCCCGGTACCAAATAAATCCCACAGCAGCAGGTACCAGAACTGTCTCTCCTCTGCTCCTCACACCCGAACACTCACAGCCGGGCTCTGAATCTGCCACCAACAAAAGAAACCACAGGAAGACTGCTTCCCTAATGCTTCAGAACTGAGTCAGTGGGTCAACAATTCCTTCGGTTTAGGAGCCAGACCAATTCCTTTAAACACCCCTTTTTCTTTTTTTTTTTCTTTTTTTCCTGATGGAGAAGCCAACTGTCTCCTGCCAGTGGCAGCCCATCTGCTTCCAGAACAGAACCAAGGCACTCCAAACCACCACCTCATTCTGGCACAGGCATCTGTCCTGACGCAACTCCATTTTGTCTCCCACGTCTGGGAAAAGCCATGAGAAATACTTACAATTGAAAGACAGTCGGGAAACTGCTCCGTGTGCACCTTGCACGCCGCCGCCGGCTCGCAGCCCACGTTTCCCAATTCCCATCCCCGGGATGGAGAGGCATGAAGGAGTGCACTCCACGTGATCCCAGACCTATCCCCGGTCTGCCTTGTTCCGTGCGAGCACAGATTATCCTGCGTGTGCATTTCGGGAGCACTGCTTGAACAAAGAGAGAGCTCTGAAGCTGCTATCCCTGTTCCCCATCCATGACTCAAAACGTCTGGTTGGAAACTGGTTTCGTAATAACCCTTTAGTACCACCTACTCACATCACAGAGCGATTCTTGCAGCAAATGCACAGGAAATCACCAACGAGTGCCAATGGAGCTACTATTCCAAGAACTAGCTCTTTCGGTTATTCCTTCATCACTTGGAAACTGAGATGCTTTTACTTTCCTTATTGCACAGGGTATGATTTTTTTATTTTTTTTTTTAAGATGAGCTTTTAGCTATGATCCTGTAAAATACTTTGTTGATAAATCACCAGCTGAACACTTGCCCACTGTATTTTAAGAAAAAAAAAAAAAAAAAAAAAGGATAGAGAAAGAATTTCACAATAGTCATTCCAGAAAATACAGTAACTCCTTTCTGGAAATAACTCATTGGACAAATCAGGCGGGGAGAATTAATTTTTGGAGACAGTTTGCATCCTGCAGAGCACACAAAGACGGTGTCGTCAGCCACGTGCCTTTCTGACCACCAACAGCAGACCCCTGACTCACCCAACCACGAGATGAGTCGCTATGAATGATTTCCTCTTCTTCCACGCTCCCCCGGCGTGCTCTGTGCCACCGGCATATCCTGAGCCTAATCCCGACTTTGATGGAAATTCCAAAACTCATCTGGGAAGGCTGTGGCCACCAGCTAACGATGCTGCCATCTGCTCCCTCCTGCTTTGAGTCACCTGTCAGCAATACAAAAGGAAATTACTCAGCAGCAAGCACGTGGAAGCCTCTGCTACAGCCTCTCGCGTACCCCTTACGGGAATACAACGTTCTGGAGCACTTGGGTCACCCTGAAAGGAAAGTGCTGTGTTCTGCAGCACTCCCATTCAAAAAAGTGAGATCTGGTTTAAAATAAGGGTAAAAATAAATGCCAGGAGTGCAGAGGGAGCGTGTTTCAGCTGGGTTCTCAGTGCCAGCGTCACCGAGGCTGCCATGGAAGGGGGGACAAAAATAAAAGAAGACATTTCACAAACACGAGACCTTCACTGTGCGTGACAAGAAAAATAATTAAAACAACTGAGAGAACTAATCTGTAGCTGCTTAGGAAGTTAACTCTTCGAAGGAAGTGATTAAGAGAACAAAAGCAAAGTGTTATGTTTATCAAACAAGTAAACTTAACCCACAGAGAGGGTTTACTCCTGTGAGTAAAGGCAGAGTACTGTCACAGCCACCCTGCAGGCATCTCTTCACACCAGGCTGGGATCTTAATGATTATTAGCCAATTATTATTTCAAACAAATAAATCTTATAAGAAGAACGAAGCACTGCTTTCCCAAAACACCAAACACTAGCAGAAAGGCAGCCACAATGTCCCATGCCTCTTTACAGAATTCCCTTGAGCTAATGCCTATTTAGGACAAAAACTCACAACTGTTTTCCTGGGAAGACCTGATTAACCACTACAGCATTCACAAATTCAGTCCAGCAACAGACATTTTTTTGTTTCATCACAGATTACGCAGCTCACGAATACAGCCCTCAAGGGCTGCATTGAAACAAGGCTCCCAACTTCTCCCAAAAAATAACCGACAAACACAAGACAGTTACTACACACGACACTCTGAATCTTCAGGAATTTCGCAAAAATTAGTTAATACTAAAGATCTAATTGTCTAACCTGCTTCTGCATGCAGAAAGAGCCAGACCTGGTGCCTCTACAGGGGGGGAGGGAGGCGCTTCTTGTTCCTGTTTCATACTTGACTTTTTTCCTGCGCAGGAGATGATCTAATTATCCAACGTGTCAGTAGATTGCTTCACCCTTTCTCGTGTGTCTCCTTACATTAACATATTTTAACAATTCAGCTCATTAGGAAGGAGGCAAGGAACAAAATGGCAAATTATCCTTAAAAAATCAATCACACAAAGGCAGGAGTCTTTCCATGTTTTGCCCTGTACCTATCCAAAACTCCACCAGAGCACACAACCAACAATGCCGAATGTAAACTGGCAACAAATCTTCCCAAATCCCACATCCTCAGGCTGCTCAGATGGAAATGTACCTGTTTGAGTAACAAACCTGATCGGTGAGCTCTGCAAGGGAGGAATTTTGGGTCCTGCCCATTTAGGAGGCACAGAAACTCCCAAATGCCAGCCCTTTATTGTTCCCAAGCGTGCTGATGCTCAGCTGCAGGAACTGTTGCTGCGAGGGGGCTGATGGATCTCATGTATAATAATTGGGCATGGGTGATGAAAGCAAGCGATCAAACCACATAAGGCTGCTACCCATCGTCTCGAAATGGATCTGAAAAACCCTGAAATCCAAATATAACGTGGACAGCACCCGCATTTGCATACGTAGGATGCCAGCCCAAGTTTCCGAGCCTTTTTATCAAATGCCTTTTTTACAGCAAAGAGCCATTCAACACCCAGCCCTTTCAGCACATAAGGATTTGAGAGACAGTCTTGGGTTTTAAACCTTGCCTTGAATTCATACAACAGGTCTGCTCACAGATTAGCCTGAGCAGGGTCCCCACGGCATACAGTAAAACCACGAGATCTTGGGAAACATTTCTTCAGCAAGTTTTGTGTATAACAGCAGCGCCTATATATAAACCTGTTTACGGCTATTTCCAAAGAAGAGCCTGTTCTGAAGCAGCTCCTTTATTGTGATCGAACACGCTGGATCCATTCCCAGTTTTAGGGCTTATGTAAGGCCTTCAAGGAAACAAGAAACTTATTTTGTACAAGATCATGCCAGTATAGTAGTAGGTGCAACGGAATTATCCTGTTACACATTAAGTTTTACTAATAAAAGAGTTGCACTGCCGTCATAAAGTCAAATGCTGCTTCCCACTAGTACAAACAAATATTTCCTGCCAGGTATGTCCACTTTGTCTAATAAATAACACAGCTTTCTGATTATTCCCGTGGCCTCTGTTAGGAGGGAGCACAGCCCAGCATGTTTGCAGGGATGGATCACTCCAGAATGAGTGAGGATCCTACAGCACAGGTAAGACTACCTCAGGTTTGGTTCCCATGTCCCCATGCAGGCTTCTGCCACTGCCCCAGCAAGATGTGCACTTTCCAGAACCATCAGAGAGTCAAGTCACACCAAACTCAAATTCAACCCTTAGGACTAAAAGCTGGGTATGTGACCAGGTCCTAAAGCTCAAGCTCTTGTATTCAGAATAAAATCAATAAAATGGTAACTGCAGCATCAGGAGCTTCAAAATGAAAACCACTACAAAACCACCAACCAACCTACAAAACCTTCAACTAAACAAAAATGGAATATTGTAATTAACACCTTATAGTGGTCTTCATGCTCTGTTGGTGCAGGGAACCTGCCTGGGCTGAACACATCCATGCCTGACAGGGGCTGCGAGGATAGTGTGGCTCTCTGAGTGGGACAGGCAGTACAGACACAGCCAGTGAGACAAAAACACTCATTTTAGTGTTATTTAGGTGTCTACATCCAAATAAATAAACCTGCACTTCGCACAGCTCTTCATCAATAACATCACGGCTTTTTCCCCTTGGCCATGTCCCATTTTGTGTTACCACACAGAGGTACCTCAAGTACTAAACCAGATGCAAACTAATCTTCCTCTTGCTTAAGATTAAATTATTATAGGACCAACCTTGTAGATACCTCTGCCCAGCCTTTCAGAGGGATCCACAGTCCAGCACTGAGGTTCAGCACAAAGCATTGCACCACAGTTTTCCTTGGGAAAGAGATGCTACTTATCTTTCTGCATCTTCCCTTTGTGAAGTCTCTTACCTGGGAAGCAGGAGACTTATATTCTGTTTTCTCCTCCCATCCCCACAGCCTGGCACTGTGCTGTAATTTTGATACTCCACATTTATGAGGAGCTGAGTGGTGCCCTCTCACCCCCACTTCTGAAACATGCCGCTGCTCACGAAACACATAAAAGATTCAGAATGAGACAATATGCAAGAGCAGCTTGACCCTTACCCTACAGAGAAAAGGTCTTCTCTGGGCATTTGGAAGTCTGGGTTTCGATTTCTTTTCTTAATCCTCTTTCTACGCTTTATCCAAGCTGTGTAAGCAGACTCCAAGTTAGGACAGCATTTAATATTGCCACACTTTTTTCTTCCTGCTTTGCTTACTGGCAATTCTTAGATGTTTAACTCTTCTTGTTCATTCTACAGGCATCTATCTGCCATATTATTTGAAGTTTGTCATCCCAGTGTTGGCAGTTTGTTTTATTTCATCTCATGGGCCTGCACACAAGCTGCATTCACAAATGAATTCTGGAACTGTAGAAGCAAATAAGAATGGCTGAATTCTGACCTGGGCATGGAAAGGATGACGTGAGGGGCACGCGAGGCAGGACGGAACTGTTCTCCTGACTTACTCTGGTAGCTACAACAGATGGATCACATAATCCAATGCAAACAGCAAACAAGTTTCTTGGTAATGAGAGAAAAGGACACAATGACCTCTAGGTAAAAATCCTAGGAACAGCAAGCACACATAAACATCAACCTGAGAAACTTTAATTCTGTGCCAGAGCCTGAACTGAAGATAACAGCAAAGACAAATACCCAAGACAGATTTAACTCAGGCTGTAATTCACTGCATGCAACATGCCAAATTGTGGTACAAACCTCATGCCTTTTAACACTCCTCATTGTAAGACCTATTCTTATCTTGGTGATGAATGTAGGTTTTTAAAAAGATTTTTTTGGAGCCTTTTGCAATTTTAGTGCTCTGTTCTTCAGCGGGGAGGAAGCTGGAAGTACTTCAGGTTATTTGCTGGGGTAGAATATGTCCCAGTATGGATTCACAAACACAGGGCATCTCATGACAGGGCACTGCTGATGAACTGCTGCGTGGCTACAGACAAGTACATTATTGTTACCTCCCTCTCCCCTCCACCCCAAATAAAGGGTGTTTCAATTTAAGATTTATTTTGTTTGCAAAGCTGATTCAGCTCCTGCAACGGGAGGCAGTAAAAGCATGAACTCTGTTTTCTTGGTATGAAGCTACAGACCTCTTAGCATATACTTTAAATAACAGACTAAAAAACTCCCCGTTCCTCCTTCTGATTAAGAAATCCTTGAACAGCTCAGTTCCCCAGCACTCAGAAAACCCGATGGCGTAGCAGGGGCCATAAACACTCATTTTCTGCCCAAAAACACAGGAGCACTTCAGAAATAAAGAGTATTTGGAGGAGGGTGGATTTTTGGGGGGATTTCCTTTATTTTGAGTGCTCTGAGCTCACACCACTAGATGGCACGTTTGAAACTCTTGGCATCTTGGTCTTAGCTCTGCATCACACCACGTTTGTCCTCACCTGGGATGGAAAAGTACAGGTAAAATGATATCTCGGGAGCCAAAGAACTGAGATAGGCGGACAATGGCACGGAAAAACGTGCCTGCACGGGAAGGCAAATGTCAGTCAGGGAGCTGAGAGCAGGACTGTTGGGGAGAACTGAGCTCCTGCACGGGAAGGCAATGTCAGCCAGGGAGCTGAGAGCAGGACTGCTAGGGAGAACTGAGCTCCAGCACTTCCAGCTCTCATCCTGGTGTGCCCTTTGTACATCACTTCATGTCTTGGGAGAGTATCTGAATGTGTGTGCCAGAGGTAGTTGAGACACGAGGAAAATAGGGAAAGAGGGTGAGAGCTGACCCTTTGGAGGCACAACACCAAGTTTCGCTCCGAGCCAAGCAATGCTCTGCTTTCTGCACATCCCCAAGAGCTCCACAGACCAA